TAACGGCACTCCCGCATCACGAGCGATATTTTTATATCGCTATTTTCCACTTTTTACGCGCGATACTGAACGGCACTCCCGCACTCATTCCGAACGATTAAAAATTTTCTGTTTTGTCGCGCGATGTATATATTTAATATATATATACTTTAACGGCACTCCCGGTTTCGGTACGAGCGAAAATCCGTTTTCACTTTTACAAGAGTCATCTTCGAGTCAACAGGTCGGGAATTCAACGCATCTTACCTCCGACAAAGTTAAGTCCGAACGGAAGAAAACTATCGATTGATGGAATCAACGCGAATGGAGTTCACTCGACTCTTGTCCGCGCCTAATATCCTATCTCAGACGGAACAAGAGAAGGGATCCATTAAACGACGATTCAAGCATCGATCGAATCCTAACCGATCCGTACCGAACTGGAGCCAGAAGCAGAACGTGACCTCAATCAGCCGGACTTTGAGCAAAAGGCTCAAAATCGCGCGCCCAATACCACAGTACTGGCATCCGCATGCGCGCCGGCATCACCTAAGGCCGCGTTGCACCGGCGTGAGACAAAGATCGTTGCAGCAACACTCAATGAACATCCCAGTTATTGACGTCGGAAGATGACAACTCGATGCATATAAATGAAATTGGGATTGCGAGAAAGTCCAACGCGAAAACGCGATGACGCGATGACGCGAAAAAGCTAAACGCGAAAACGCGGTAACGAGACGCCGCCATCCCCGACACGTTGACGGCACCGACGACGCGAAAGGGTACTTAGCTTCCTCTTCAGACTCCTTGAGATTTATTCTAAATTAAAAAGTTTAAAATAAACTTCAAGGCACCATCCAAGTACTAAGCCCTCCCACCGCGACAAGGTGTACCCCGTGGGAGGGTTATATTATATATAATTTTATAAATAATAAATATATAATTAATAGATATATAATTATAAATCTTCTTTATAAAACTCAAAATAATTCATTTGTAAAACTAATTATTACGCGTAATGAATTTGTTATTTTCATTATTGATATATATATATATGCAATACATGTTTATTAATACGATTATAGTCGAAAGTTTAATATAATTGAAAGTTATGATACAATAATCGTTTAATTAATAATTAATTTAAGAATAAACGACGTATTTCGCACTACGATCTTTATTGCTCGAGTGTCGCTTTATGAATGATACGAAGGCCATACGTTGTACGACTAGCGCGCTATTGTTTACGTCAAGATCGAATGTCGTGTTATTGTTCGTTCATATCGAAATATATTGTATTATATTTTATATTACAATATAAGGCAATATAAATATGTTAACGTACGTAGAATATTTCGATGACAAACAGATAATAATATCAATCTTGGCGTAAGCAATACGTATTTTTATTATATTCTATCATATTATATTATATTATATTATATTATATTATATTATGTTTTATATATTTTAATAGCAGCAAATAATTTTTCGATACTGATCGCGATCGCGTCTAGAAAAGAATTTAACGGAGCGTCTTGTACTACTACTTTACTCTTTGAGTGTCATCGCGAATGATAATAGAACCGAACAAATTAATCCAAAAGACCGTGTTATTATTATTTTTGTACCGAAACATTTTTCAAGACTATGGCATATAAACATATAAGAATATACGACATATTTCGCACTACGATCTTTACTGCTTGAGTGTCGCTTTGTGAATGATACTAAGACCGTATGACTAGCGCGCTATTGTTTACGTCAAGATCGAACGCCATGTTATTGTTCGTTCGTCATATCGAAATATATTGTATTATATTATATTATATTTTATATTATAATATAAATATAATAAATACAGCAAATAATTTTTCGATATTGATCGCGATCGCGTCTAGAAAAGGATTTAACGGAGCGTCTTGTATACCACTACTTTACTCTTTGAGTGTCGACACGCGAATAATAATAGAATCGAAAAAGTTAGTCCGAAAGACCGTGTTATTATTATTTTTTTATCGAAACATTTTTCAAGACTCTATAGCATATAAACATTAGCGCGCTATTACGGTACCAAGGTCGGTTATTGTTTGTTCGTCATCGAAATATTTTACGTATTTTAATATATACGTATATGTATATATGGAATATATTTAAGTATATAAAAGTATTTTATATTACATAGATTTTTTAATTATAGGATTATTTATTAAAAGATTGATGTATGGAGTCTTTCATTATGTTTAGATTCATGATTCAATTATTTTATTGTGCGTTCTCACAATTCAAAATATTTCAATAATTGAAAAATAAAGCATCGCAGATATATTGTATTTGACTCTATAAATATCTATAAATCTATAATACTAAAGAAATAATTTCTGCTCGTAAAAATCGATTTCATATCGAAATAATAATTTATTATTTTAGATTTCTGTTACTATAATTCTTAGTTGATTAAATGAATAAATTACGATTAAATGCGATAGAGAATTTTTGTCGCGATTTGTATATAGATATTAATTATGTGTTATTTATAAAAATTAATTAATCATATAGTTATAATAAATAATTTTCGGTGTTGATCGTGATCGCATCTAGAAAAGAAATTTAAAGGCGTATCATTATATTACTCATAAAAAATATTAGACAATAACATATAAAATTATATAAATATGAATAAATATGAAATTATATAAATCGTTTCATAATCGGCATGCAGATATTACAAATGCTATCTGCATCTGATTTATATAATTTTTCATATGTCATTGTCTAATATTTTCGAATGTGTAATAATATTAATGTCACGTTGAAGGTAGATTAAAAGATAATCCGAAACGTTCGTATTTATTGTATGTATTGTGACGAGTAATTTAAAATATACTAATAATTTGAAATATAATAATAATTAAAAGAGAAAGGATTTTTCTTGTGCTCCAGTTATCGCGCTTTTTATTGGCTCTTAATTATCAATTGTTTAGTTAATTTTTAATTATTATTATTTGAGCCAATTTTTTATTTTAATTTTAATATTTATATTATTTAATATTTAAAAATAATATTTAAAAATAAACTAGAATATTTTTTGTGTTATAATTTATTTTCAATGATGAACCGTTGTGATAAAAATCACGTAAAAATGGCGGTGGCGATGGTGATGATGGATGATGTGTGATTAATATATTGTATCAAGGAATATATTAATAATTAATTATATTATTAATACAGGGAGAGAAAGACCACCTAAAACTTTAGATTTGTATTAAAAATTTAGCGTTTTGCATTATCGATACTTGTGTTACGGACGGAACAATACATAATAATGTTACCTACTGAAAACATTTAGGATTTAGCTTCGTAGTTCATGTCCACGTTTTTATTTCAGAGGGCGTATTGTCTTTAGAAATTATCCAAGTGATCTATGATGTTTCTTATTCTTCTTTCTGATTGAAATTAATTGAGGCAAATATTTTTTTAATTAAACGGTAGTATATATTAAATTACATATAATAATGGCGATGGTGGTGATAGATAATGTGTGATTAATATATAATATAATATAATATCGGGTAATATATTTTAATAATTATACTTGATAGATAGATAGATAGATAGATAGATAGATAGATAGATAGATAGATAGATAGATAGAGAGAGAGAGATGACAAAACTTATTTATATTACAAATTTATTTAATATATACAAACGTTTTGCAATACTTATGTTATCGACATTTCGTGTACGAGGCATGGAATATAATCCGAAATTATGTTACCCATTGAAAACATTCGTAGATTTGACTACGTAGTTCATGTTTATATTATTTTGTTTATAGGATGCATTGCTTTCAGAGATCGCCTAAAAGCAGACTATGACAAAACAGAGTGAAAACTATGAACAATTTTGTTGTTTGTTTTATAGATTTTTAAAATGGCTTTTCGTATGCTACATATTTGTAGAGTTGTAAATAATTTGATAAAAATGTTCAATCTGTAAACAATGGTAACGCAAATGAAATATATTATTGTCTCTAAATCATTATATGTAATTAACATATAATATGTATTTAAAATTAATTTATCAATTTAATTCTAATAAAATTATGAAAATTTTTTCAGGTATATATTATTGTATTTAATATTGTTTAATTTATTGTTTGTCAGTCATTCACATTTGTTAAAAATAGTCACTTTATTAAATAATGTGAGAAACTCTATGTTCTTTGGGAATAGTAAGTAGAACTTTTATGGATATAGCATTTTGATAATAGTTTATATTTATAATAGAAAATAGTTTGTATTTCACTGTGCTTTTGTTCTATAGAACCTGAAGATGAATTATGAAAGGGTGTGACAAGTATCAGTAATGCAGGAAGACGCAGAGGTAGAGCAAGAAGAGTAGTGAAAAGAGAGACCTAAGGGGCAAATAATTGGCATGGGAAAAATTCCGATACAATTTCCTGGTCTGAACACTTCTGTGTTTAGAGGAAAAGAATTAATTCAACAGCTAAAACTGCTTGTAAATCTTGAAAGAAAGCAAAAACTAATGGAATTACCACAAAGTCAGACCAGGCCAATGCAAATAAAATTATCGCCATTGAAATGTGGTTGGAGGAGTGTTACAATGGATGGCAGAAGCATTGAATTAGATCTTATTGGAAAAGGTTAATATTTATGCTATTATTGGATTATAATGGTTAAATTACATACATACAAAAATCATGTGATACGATGTCTATTATCAATTTTTTTTTTTTTTGATGTTTCAGTTCTAAATATTAGAATCTTATATAATTAATATCTTTGTTTTCTGCAGATACATTTGAAAGTTTTGAAACCTGGATTTTGGGAAACAAAATGATAACTTGTATGACCAGTAATTTAGCACGTAAGACTAGAATCAATTCATATATAGTAACTGGGAATGGAAATGGATTGGCTGGATTTGCGTTATCAAAAGCCAAAGCATCCCTAAAGACGATTAAAAATAAGACTGGTCAAAGATTAATGTATATTCCTACATATAAGGAACACACTGGTAAGAAAATACTTGTCAATACTATATAATATAAAATTTATTTCTTCTCTTTTAATATAACTTTGTATTTTTCAGTGTTACATGATTTCTTTACACAGTTTGAGAATATAAAAATATTTGTAAAGAAAATTCATGAAGGATAATGGGCTTGTTTGTCATCATGCAATAAAAGCATGTGAGATAATTGGCATAAAGGATATGTATGCCAAAGTTCAAGGAGGAATGTAAAAGCATTCTTTATTGGTTTATTGCAATAAGTGTGAATATAAAGTATTTAAAGGCATATTATACTTTTTATTTAATTTATATTAGAAAGAAACATTTTTTAATTATAAAAATATATATACATATATATATATATATATATATATATATATATATATATATATATGTTAGACATAAAGCTAAAAAAAACGTGGATTGTGTCGATTAATTAATTAATTGTTTTATTTAATTATCAATTTATATATGTATATTATTAACAATGATTTTTTGTTTACTTAAACTTTATAAGGTTGTACATAAGAAACAATCTTTTTTATTTAATATTTCAAGCATATTTTCATAGAACTTTAATTTAATTATTATATTATTAAAAATATTGAACAAAATAAAGAATTAAAGCTGGCTTTCTCTGTAGTCTCATGGCAGATTATATCAGTAATCATACTTTAATTATTGCAATATATCATGAAACAAATCAATATATCAAATATGTAATGTAAATATTTTAATTTTTTCGTATACGATCTATTTTTTATAATTTTTTCGTATACGATCTATTTTTTATTCTCTATCGATGTTTTCATAGTGAGTTTCACCTTGAGGATTTTACTTCATATATTTGCAATAAAAATATATTAAAGCAAATTATTTTGCAAATTTATTCTAATTTTTATTTAGAAAGAATAAGATTTAAAAAGACGTATGAATTTTTTCAGATTTTTTTACATATTTCTATTGAATAAAAAGCATCAGATAAAACTGACTTTTCTGTACATTTTAAATGTGTCAAAAGATTTGCTCTTTATTCTTTATACTTACTGCAATAATGTACACTAAAAATGATAGATCTATATTAAAAATGATAGATTAGTAGTATATTTAGTAGTTGGAAAGAAAGAGAGCAGAAATGAAAAGTGCATCTAGAGAATTTAAAAGAATAAAAACCAAATCTAAAAATAATACATAAAGATTAATATTATGTATTTTTTTCATGAGGAATGTGGAGCGCACATTTATGCATTTATTTATTTAGATGAGATTTACTTTAGAGCACATTCAGTATTCAACTTTAATTTTATTTTCTCTTTCTTACGATATAAAAGTATAACATAATTACCTGCAAATGCTATTATTTTTGTATGCTTACAGTGATACAGAAACAATATTACGAGTACTATATTTACAGATAACATCTGTATAATAAAAAAAGTACCAAAAGTCTAATGGTAAAAAAAGGGTAAATATTGTAGACCAGCATAAGTATCAACCAATTATTCCACTGCTCTGTTTCATTAGGGTTGCAATTTTCTTTTATAATATCATGAATATTATAAATAAGATAAAGATTTCAGTACGTTTCAAATAAATTTATATATTTTATGTATGTAATACTGCGCACACATATTAAAAGGTGATAATATCGCAGTTATAATAAGATACAATCCTGGCAATGTAGCGATGTTTGGATTCTGACAATAATTTAATTTGATTTATTTTTAAGAAATGCGCACAATACTTGAGAGCAAATTATTTTTGTGCTACGTATTACCTGTGTAAAATTCCACACACAGTGTCATATTGTCTGCGGTATATGAAAAGCTTCATCGATGAAATAATGTGATAATACAATTGAGATATAAGAAAAATAATATAGTACTTGTAATGAATAACGTTAATGTGGAATACATAAATATTTTATATTTTAATTTTATGTAATCGAGATGAGATAAGACACTCATGATTACTTTAGAAATGTGTCCACAAATATCATGTAACTTCAATAGCTGCACATTCGTCAAATTAATCCTATTACGTTAAATGAATCACAGCAGCTTGTTTTAATTTAATCTAACCTAACCAATTATATTATATGCTCCTCATTAAAATGTGTAAAACTGTACGTCGCACATTTAATACGATTAATATACTACGTAATAAAATGTAATGCACTAATGAAATAATTAAATATTATTTTTGAAAGCATGATAAAATCCAGGCAGCATACGCTTGTGTTTACATTCGATATCCAAAGACACTGAGGGTTAGGTTAGATTAGGTTAGGTTAGATCAAACAAATTTATCGTTTAACAGTTGGCAGCCCTACGAGATAGGCTGTGCAGCACTGCGCGCGCGTACAAAATAAATTTGAAATCGCTCCTAGCATAACCATCTTCACGCGATCGACTTTATTTGAATTGCACCGAATCGAATTATGATGCGGCGCCGATTTGTCCGAATGTAATTCGGGACATCGCGATGCTGTATAAGCGTCGAATGAGCACGAATTGTCACGCAAATATGATAAATCAAATCTACTCACCGGCTGTTCCACAGGCCGCTTCTCCTCGGGACAGTTCGCTCGCCTCGGGACGTCCCATTCCGATCTTGATGCACACAAACTCACACGATATCATCAACGCGAACGCGCGACACTTTATTCGGCACTCCCGATACTCGCTCGCATCCGATAATCATCATCAAGGGCGCGAATAACGCGACGCAACTTCGCTCCATCTTCGCGATGACGCCATCACTGAATATCGTCAAAAATCGCTGTCGCGCGTTTCCATCGACACATTATGAAAGTCGCGCGATCATCCTTGGACACTCTCGACACTCGTTCACTCGCGATATTCGTTTAAAAACGTTTAAAAGATGCGAAAAATGCGGATGTACGACGATCCGTGTAACTGCGTATGACTCCGATTCACGCGCTAACATGGCGGCCGTATGACGCGTTTGACGTAGCAGTGACGTAGCAGTCACGTGCCAACATGGCGGCCGAACCACTGCGCATTCGTTTCTGCGCATGGCCATACCTGTGCTCAACGTTCGCGCAACTTTGATTTCTGAATATTGTCTACGGCTTTAATTAATAGCACATAATGATAAATATATAAAGATGGAATCAATTAATCATATTGGTCATATATGTAGACTTGCCCGAAGAAATAGAGAAAAAAATTGAGAGATATTTTTAATTTCTTTTTCTTTTAGTAAACGATGGAAATGTCTATTCATAGGCTTGTTCTTTTTTTCCTCTTTCGCGCAATTTCGATTCAATATATAACGTAGAAAATTCATAGTATATTATGCTAATGATATGAATTACGAATGATTCGATTGTTTTATCGCGCTTTTCCAAAGTCAAATCTTATAATATTTACTTTTGCATTTTAAAGGACTGAGGGCGAACTAAATAAATAAATAAATAAATGATGTTAAGAAGAAAAAGAAGACACATAAATAAATAAATAAATAATAGTGTGAAAAGAGAGAACTAATATTTTTATATAATATAATAGATATTAATATTTTTAAATAATATAATAGATATTAATATTTTTATATAATAAATTATTATTAATTAAATTATTTATATTATTTATATTATCAGAGAGACATATATGTTACTCTCTGAGAACATTCGTAAACATTGATTTTGTAGTTCATGTTCACGTTTTTAATGTTTACAGAGGGAGTATTTCTTCCAGGGAACAACTATAAAAGCGGGCCATGACATCTCTCAGTCTTCTCTCTGGTTAAATATTTAAATATTTAAATATCCATATTTCATTTTAAAGGTACCAAGATGTCCTGCGTAATTTTCCCTCATTTAATAATTTTAAAAGATTATTTTCAAATTTTTAAGAAGTCAATTAAACGTTAAATACGTTAATTAATTAACGTAAAGTGAGAAAATAATATGCGCAAATTATATCGACTTATTTATTTATTTAAAGCTGTCCACTTGAGCCGCTTCGTCACGTGATAGATTCTGATTGACTAAAAATCTGGATTTTTAATGCTACCGAATATAGTTATAAAATTTTTAATTTCTTTCATTGGTTCTGCCATTTTTTGTCGTAGCCAATCGGCAACGAGTCGACTTGAATAGTGTCCAGGATTTTAGGGTGGGTTTCTATTTTTATTTGACGCTCATTTTTAGCGTCAATAAAATGCAATTTCATTGACGCTACTTTTTAGCGACAATAAAATTGCATCTATAGACATCATGTGATCAAAAAATGACAAATTAGTATTTTTATTTTTAGTCAACCTTTCAGCTCGAGGTTTCTAGTCTAGATTCTAGCACTTTCATAGATAGAATCCCCCTTCACCCCAACAAGATTAATTGCTTGTTGATCTCTGTCGACGCTGGTTGACATGTGGTGCTTGATTCTGTCAGCGGACGAAGGGAAATTTAACGAGGAAAAGAAAAGATTCATAGCGTGCATGATAAATGTAAAAAATATGAATACATTGCATTTGAATATATTAGTGTCAAACTTTACAGCTGTTGAACAGCTGTAAAGTGGAAATAATTGTGAATGCTCCGAAATTTTGCTAGAATGAAAAGCGTTTACGTGAGATAGCATTAATACGTCAAGTGTTATCAGTGAGTAAATAAGGAGACTTTGTATATCTTTAAATAGAAAAAATCTCTATCAGAAATAAGATCGATAATATTGTAACATTAATTTTTTTTTCTCTATAAAAATCTCGATAAAAATCGATGAAAATCGTGAAATTTTCGTGGGTTTTTTGCACATTTCAAATAAATATTAAATCATGTCTTCTTCATCTTTTTTTAATGAATATATCAATTTGTCTTGCAATCGCAAATATCTAATTGTCAGTTTCAGCAGGGTTAGTTTATGACAAAATTTTCAATTATTATTTATTTTCAAAAATTTTCTATTTTCATAATACATTGTTTAATTGTATAATTAAATATATATAAACTATATTATATAATAATATATATCATATAGTATATATTAAATATTGTTGTATAATTAAATATATATAAACTATATTAATATAATTTATATTGTATAATTTACAACATTTAAGTTGTATTGCAAGATATAAAAGATGTAAGAAATCTTTCTATTGGCTTTTCAGAGATATTGAAAAAGAAGAGTGAGAGGGAGGGAGAGAGAAAGAGAGAGAGAGACAAAACAAAACACTTTTGTAAAACAATCTGTATCAGTTGATGGCCAAATTAATTTGACCCTTATTTCTAATTGGGTCAGTATAGGCCATTATAAATTCAAAGAAGAAGGAAAAGTGAAACAATCTTGCATGCAATATGAATTCCTCGTATCTGCGAAACTGGCCAATCTTCAGCTTGCTGGAGCGAGATACTATTTCACAAATTCATATGGTCATGGTATATGGTAATATACAGCATTTTTTTTGCATCCTACTATATTATTGCTTTGCAGTATCATTATTTTGTTACCTTTGATGTAGGTACTTTAGGCAATGAGGCTCTACTTGTGATGAAAGACAAGTCTGTGTATGGCTTAGGCAACAACATTGCTGGATGTTTGGGAATCAGCGATGCCCATAGCACATTGTATCCAAAGAAAATAGAAGTCTTGTGCGACAAAGATATAAAGACGTTTGCCTGTGGCAGTGGACCTCACGTTTTGGCGCTCACAGAGAAGGGAGAGGTATAATTGGAAAATTGCATATTCGTTAAACTGAATACAATGCAGATTGTAAAATGTAAATTCAAACTAACTATATGTTTCTTGACGATTTTAGAAGTAAAGCATAATATTAATATTCCTATTTTGTACACACTTGTAATATAATTATAATATCTTGTGTAATATTTTATACATGTGCAAAAACATTTGTCAACATCTGCAGTGATTCTAGATAGAATTGCAAAAGTTATACGAAATTATCAAATATTAAATACATATAAAATGTGAGATATCAATTGAATTAATATTTTTGACAGGTATATTCCTGGGGACACAACAGTTACTGCGAATTAGGAAACGGAACATGCAATCAGGGTCTCACACCAATTCTAGTGAATATACCCACTTTAGGAGCTGGATTGAATATGAAATGCATTGTGGATGTTGCGTGTGGGAGCCATCATTCTCTCGCTCTCACTGAAGAGGGAGAGGTGAGCGATATCAAAGACAGAACAACTGGAATCTATCATAGTTACAAACTGGAGGATCGTTTAATCTAGGTGTATGCCTGGGGACAAAATAATTGTGGACAAGTGGGTAGCAATATCAGCACGAATCAGGGCTCGCCGCGACAAGTGACCTCCAATTTGGCCGGGAAGAAGATTGTTCATATCTCCTGCGGTCAGACCTCCAGCATGGTGGTAACCGACAACGGCGAGGTATATGGTTGGGGCTACAATGGAGTCGGCCAGCTGGGAATAGGCAACTATGTAAACCAGATGACCCCGAGTCGAGTTGGCTCGTTGATAGGCGTTGTAATAAGTAATCATACGTTTTATTCTTTCAATTTATTTCTTAGAATAAAGATGACATCAGCGAGCAATTGACGTTAACATTTCAGTCAAGGTGGCTTGTGGATACGCGCATACGTTGGCGCTCTCAGATGAGGGGAAACTCTACGTCTGGGGTGGGAATAGTTATGGTCAATTAGGCATCGGCAATAAAACGAACGCCTGTAACCCAGTCTTGGTGAGCTGTACATCAGCGTAATAAATAGAGAAAGAGAAAAAGTGTGCGATTTTGTAATCGACAAAATTGAATTGTCAGGTCACGCACGAAATGGGAAGGATCTCCGACATTGCTGCCCTGCACTACAATCACATAAGCACAGCCGTTGGCGTAGGTGGACGGGTCTACATGTGGGGTAACTGTCGCGGGCAGAGCATCTCGACTCCGACTCCCACTCCGTTTACGGATATGCACGACACATTCGCGTGCTACGGGTGGCCCAGCGTCATGTACAAACCATTGATTTTGCATGAGAACGAGGATTCGAGTATATTGGAGTGTCTGGGAACTGCGTTTGACGATTCCGTACGTTATGTTTTTTCTCCTATCTGTTTTGCGCTTCTTTGCATTCTGAAAATTAAATGAATATAATAAGGAACATGAGAGAGAGAAAAGAAACAATTCAGAAGGCATAACAGAGAGGAGAACCTAAAAGGTGACAATATCTTTTTTTTATATATTTTTTATATTTTTATATTTATATTTTATTTTATATTATAGTTATATTCAATTATATATGCAGGGTGTCCCAATTATCTTCCGTCATCTTTCAAAGACAGATTCCTGGGATCATCTGAAGACGATTTTTCCTCAACGAAAATGTCGAGGCACTAATAATTTTCGAATTATAAGTGATTGGAAATAAGGGGTTTTTCATAAACTAAGCTTTGTAGAAATAAAATATTAACAAAACCACATTCTTTGATTAATTTTAAATAGAGTTTACTTTAGTTGAGTTTTAATTTAAGACTTAATTGCAAAGATATATGATGACAAAAATCGAGAACATGCAAAAAATGATGGCTTTCATTGACATTTTGCTGAGGAAAAATCGTCTTCAAATGATCCCAGGAATCTGTCTTTGAAATATGACGGAAGATAACTGGGACACCCTGTATATATATATATATATATGATAATATTTTACGCTTATTATATTTGTTTATAAGACTTATTGCGCGCTTTAAGACTTATTTTCTTATTGAATTCTATTTTAAAATATAGTTGACTGATTTGTATTTTATTGTAAAGTGGAAAAATTTCTCTCTAGATGAAAGAAAGATATATGATAAAAGAAAATGAGTACACGTGCGTGTGCTTTAATGTGAAATTATTTAAAAAATTGCACATATATATTTTTTTTCGTAGATTTTAGTCGATAAATATGACAAATCCCTTTTAGGTATTAATCTAGGAATTATATCTATCTCTAATTATTAAATCTAATTATATGTATTTGTCTCTAATTCTCTTCTCTCCCACAGTCGACGAGCGATCTCACGATACAAGTGAACGGGCAAGCCATCCACGTCCACAAGGCTATTCTGAAGATTCGTTCTTCGTACTTCAGGACCATGTTCCAGCATAATTGGGCGGAAAACAATCAGAGGTAATTATTTATTTGTATTTCTCATTCCTGTTATTTCTCATATAACCAATATAAATCTCAAGCTTATTACATCATATCGCGTGTTTTTCCCGACAGTATCATCGAGCACGATCAATTTTCCTACGTCGTGTATAAAGCCTTTCTGAAATACTTGTACACCGACTTGATCGATCTACCTACAGAAAAGGCGTTAGGTGAGCTCGAGTCATAAATATGCAATCCGCATATCACCTCGCAATCGATTAAAGCAACCACATTACAGAGCTCCTTGATTTGGCGAACGCGTACTGCGAGAACAATCTTAAAAGGCATTGCATCCAGATGATAAAGCAAGGGATCAGCATATCCAATGCGGCATATCTGTACAGCGTCGCGATCGAGTACAACGCAAAGGTAGCTATCGCCTTTAACTTGCCATTGAATTACGTCAATCGTGATATTCGATAAATGCGGCGAGTGATTTTTGTAGGAACTCGAGGAGTTCTGCTTCAAGTTCGCCTTGAATCACATGACAGCCGTGACGCAGACGGAGAATTTTGCCAAGCTGGACGAGAACACGGTAAAGACTTTTATCATTAAAGCGGGCAAAGCCGGCGCTTTTAGGACGTAATTCGTCTAATTTGCCTCAAGGATTATACGTTTCGACGGAAATGGACGGAAATCGCCAAATCTGTCTGTTGTTGCACGAGTATTTGCGACACGATTCCTAATAGTCGCATAGACTGACGAACGCGAAGTCGCGTTTTAGCGACTCGCTTCCTCTCGCATTTATCTCGTAGCATTTCTCGCGTAAGTAATAGAAATAAATTGCGCACTTTTTAGCCGTGCACTCTAGTCGGCGCATTCCGACAATAAGTCGCAAAAAACAATGCCATTTATCTCACATGAGATTTTTTTCGTGATACCTACTTGGATAATAAAGGCGATTTTTTTATAAGATACTTTAGATTATTTTATTGGAATCTGTTTGTTTGAATAAAGAGACAAGACAGTGTTTTCGTACAATTAAAAATTAATCTCGCCAATTGATTAATCGCGTGTCAAATCTGTGCCCAATGAAAATTCAATTTTATTTATTATAAAGCAGGTGATTTTTTATAAGATATTTGAGATTATTATATTGGAAGCAAGACAATATTATTCGCTGTTGCAGTAATTAATAATTAATCTCGCGAATCGGTTAAATCGTGTCAAATCTGTGTCCAAAGATTGAAAACACGATTTTATTTGTTCCTGATATAGCGTGATCGTTCCATTTTACAACGATTCTACATAAATTTTCTGTTTTTTTATCAGATGCGATTTTTAATCTCACATCTAGTTATATGTATCTGGATAGTAATAAACATTTTCAACACCGCCAACAGAACATTTTACCATGTTATCCGTCAATATCACATCTGTCGCTCTAAATAATAATAGCAAAAATGAGGAATGAGAGAACTGGAGACTCGGATTGGAAGAAAATAATCTTTGAGAGAGAAAGAGAGAGAGGGGGGGGGAGGGGACACAGATCTCGTCGTTCGTACATCATTTTATTATGATATTCTCAGTATATACAAGCGATAGATTTTGTCGTTCGTATAATACGTACGTATTCTACTTGATTATAATAATCATCATATGTTTAATATACATACATATATACCTTTTGAAACGGGAACGATCGGTGTTTATGTTTCGCGAGTCGGAGAGGGATAAATCTCTGATAAATCTGTACAATCTGTGCGGCTCCCTTTTCCTTTCCCTCGCCTCCTCGAGATTCCGAGTCGCGAAACGTCGTCGGGAGATCGTTCTTATTCCAATCTCGTATATAGAAGTATACACACAAGATATACATATATACGGAGTGTCTATCTTACAGCGGCCACCGCAAAACGGGCGCTCTGTATATATACGTCTCTCTCCTTCCCATTAATTTTATATTTAAATATATTTATATATGTATAAGTAATTATAATTATTATTAAATTAGGTGATCGGTCATTCGCCGCGACCAGAGACTCATTCGTCGCAACCCACGCGTGCAACTCTCTCTCCCTCGATCGCGACTCTCGTTTAAAAGATCTACAATATTACCGCGAGATAGTTCAACGTCAGCTTTTCATTCGGTTTGATTAATACAAGCTATTCCGATCGACAATAACGAGCAGGCAATTGGATTATATCTTACGTGAAGCGTCAAGTGTCGAATTTTTTTATCGCGTCACCTACTCGAGATAATGAATAGATTGTAATATAAAATAGATGACAAGAATGTGTACTTGTGTGTGTGTCTCTGTGTGTGTGTATATGTGTTGTAATAAATATAAATAGATCGTCGTAGAGAGTAGATAATAAATTATACTTCCTATTATCGATATAAGAGGAAATGTAAATAGATATTATCTTACACTTTGCGTTAGTTATATTTTTTTTTTTTTAGCTTTTTTCTTTTTCGAAAGGAATTTGCGAGTAGCAAGACGTATTTAGCGAGCGGTTGCACGCGGTGGTTGCACATCGCTGATCCGATCCTCGATACGACGCACCCCCCTCCCCCCCGGGGAAGATGATGCGTTTTCTCCCCCCTGGTGAATAAGGAGGCGCCCTATCGAAGCACGACCGGCCGTTGACAGCTAGAGACAACGATTCATCGTTTCATTAGTTCATTTATAATAGTTAATCGTTCTCCTCTTCTGTATCTTGGAATTAATTAGAGCATATTTAGGCCTGCGGGCTACTTTTCTTCAGCAACGCGCTGCGAGTCCCATCGACGACAAAAGCGAGACTTCTCTCCCGAGAGCCTTTCGTCCCGACCGGCTCTCCATCCTTTCTCGAAGCACTTTGAAAACGGAGAGAGAAAAAAGGGAGGGCGACTCTACCTCCCAGCAAGCAACATTTATATAATTGTTAGTTATAATTTCTCACTCAACAACATGTTACGTAACTGTTACATAACATGTTATATACAATATAACTGTTATACAGGGTGTTTCAGACCACCCGTACCACTCATTTAAAAACTAGAGAAGTGGTTATTTCAAAAAAGTAAAAACATTTTCTTTATAAATCGGGTGCACTCTATCGAATGGTGATATTTTCAATTTCTGATTCCGGCCGGAAATAGGCGATTTAGAAGCGACCGGAAGTGTATTTTTTTTAATGGAAATCCCTATTTTCATTGCATATTCTTGTAGCTTACCTCGAGAGCTTTCCAAAACACTATAATAAATTATTTTTCCATGAAGTACTTTTCGAGTTATGAGGCTTGAAATCATTTTTTAATTTTACATAAACCATAAAATACCTTGTAAAATATTCATTTTTATCTTACCTTAATACTTTTATGTACAAAATAATGAGAGGAATCAATTGGTGTAAAGAAAACACATAGTTGTTTCTAAGAAAAAAAATATGGAATTGTTAATTGCAAATTACATTTTTTTTTTTTAGAAACAACTGTATGTTTTCTTTACACCAATTGATTTTTCTCATTATTTTTACATAAAAGTATTAAGATAAGATAATCGAAAAATGAATATTTTACAAGATATTTTATGGTTTATGTAAAATTAAGAAATGATTTCAATCCTCATAACTCGAAAAGTACTTCATGGAAAAATAATTTATTATAGTGTTTTGGAAAGCTCTCGAGATAAGCTACAAGAATATGCAATGAAAATAAGGGGTTCCATTTAAAAAAAAACTTCCGGTCTGAATCTTCTATTTCCGGCCAGAACTAGAAGTTGAAAATATCACGTTTCGATAGAGCGCACCCGATTTATAAAGAAAATGTTTTTACTTTTTTGAAATAACCACCTCTCTAGTTTTTAAATGGGTGGTACGGGTGGTCTGAAACACCCTGTATAACAGTTATATTGTTGAGTGAAAAATTATAACTGACAGTTATATAACTGCTATTTGGCGTTTGCTGGGGTGTATGCATTATATAGAGATTTATCCGTCTACTTATCCAAGGTTTCGGGTCCTCCTGAAGCCTTCAGCGTCCAAATCAACCGTTTCTTCTCGGTGCTTAGAACCCGATTGGATGCAGAAGACCTCGTCCTCTCGCGTCTGTTCGCTTTAACGTGTCGATTTTTCTCTTTTTTTTTTCACAGAACCAAGGGTGGATTGTCCGCGGCGTTTCTCGCCTTTCGCTCTCTTCCTTCTCCCCCTCTGTTGTCGACACACTCATCTTTATCTCCTCTCTCGCGCTACGCAAGATTATATATATAATATGTATTATATCGTAGGCTAAGAAATTTATACAAGCAGCGAGATTTTTGCTTTTTCCTCGGAAAGAGTAAGCTTCTTATATGACAGCTGACTTATCTAAATGGATCGCTTCGACACTTTCAACTTCGCCGTTCTCGCGATAATCGCTATCCCGATACTTTTCTCGCAAAGTTCCTCTTGTTACTCTCACTTTCTTTTCCAAGTTGCGCCGATAGATTATCCGTCGTTCGACACGCGCACGTTCAACGGCATCGACAAAAAATACTGTGCAACTAACTTTACAGAAAAACTGTTACATCATTTTTCTGTTTAGATCATTCATATTTATATCATTTTGTTATATCATTCATATTTATATCCACTATTTATATCATTCATATTTTTCTTATGGAAGAAATCACTTTGCAATATTAGTCACAATTTATTCATAATATTTATAATTAATATATTTATTATATATATATATATATATATATATATATATATAAAATTATATAGATTTTAATTTATATGTAATTAAAATATGTATAATTATAATTATACATCTATAGAATGTTAAACGTAAACTTGCGTGGATTAGATTATCACGACGAGATTTTTCGAAGGCTTATCACTGATAAAAGAAAGTATTGAAAAGTGATTGTAATCTCGAGGATACAGTTACATTATTTTTTTTATCGATGCCGTTGATATGCACACGCGTAGACAACGCAAGAGAGAGAGAACGCAGACAACATACGCACATATATAACACATACAACATCGACGCGAATTCTCGTATGATGCCATTAGGACGCTAAAAATACGAATTTGCTGATATTCTGATTTCACTATAATACGCGAAACACGCGAAAATATAAATAATACAGAGAGAGAGAGCGTTCTCCTTTTAATTTATTTTCATCTTTCTCGCGTCTCTTTATCGTTGATTTAATTATTTATAATTTTTAATTAATTAATTTTTAGTTAATTTTATTTGTTAATTATTTAATTTTTTATTAATTAATTTTTCAATTTTTACTTTTTTAAATAAATTTCTCAACTTTTACGCACCGTGCTCCGCAATCCGACCATTTTGTCCGATTTGCCATAATGTAGCGAATAATTAGTATAGGATTTTTGCAAATTGACTTATTAATGATCCGAGTGAATTTTTCGCGGATAGATCCGACTTTTCGGATATTAGATTCCGATAATCCGGATGTCGGGATTCGTAATAATTGGATATAGCGTGCAATTAGTTTCGGATATTAAATTAACCAGATATTTTCGACCTTTACCGACAGGATATCCGATTCTTTTAGAATAATAGAGATAAGTATAGCTTGGCGTGTATTGCGTATTTTTCGCGAGGACTTTTCCGTCCGAGTTTTTCCCGATTCGAAGATTTGGGAAGATTTTGCACTCGATTTTTTGATTGTTCGGTGACTGGGTCCGGATTTTTTCCTCAGAATATCGCGTGAAAATGTGTGCGATCGTTATATATTTTTTTAAATATTTAATATATTAAATTTTTTATCTCCTTTCTTCGCCGATATATTTGTGCAGCCTTAACACGACGATACCGAGATGGAAAATTTCGAAGGTATCGACGCGAAAACCGAAGAAAGATCGATCTCAAAGTCCCATTTTTTTTTTTGATACCTCCTTTCGACCTCGAAATCGATTGTTTGATTTATTTTTATAATTTCTCGTCACTATTATATATATCTAGTACCGTTATCGCGCTACTGTTTATTCATTAAAATTATCGTTAACATTATCTTGTTAGCTTTACATTTATTATCATAATAATAATAATTATTATTATACGTTATCACCATCTCATTATCGTCGCTTTCCACCGTTGTTATTATCATTGTTGATATCATCTCGTCTTGTTTGTTATCACTATGTTATATTTTGTAATTCTTAATTATTCTTATATTATCATTATTATTAGCGTGATATATATATATATATATATATATATATATATATATATGTATATCAATAATTCTCCGCGTCTGTCAATAACGTGTGGTCTCCGCAGCGCGTATTTTTGGTTTTTCGTAGGACAAAAGACGAGTAAAAATGACGCCTAATGAATTATCGATATTTCATGGAGAACCGGCGAAAGAGTGTAATCCTCTCGTTTTATTATACACATCTTAAATTACGCACACAGAACCACAATCAAGGCGATCTCTTTCCTATCCTTTTTATTTTATTATTATTTTTTTTTAATTTTTATTTCCTTTTCAATTGATATATTTTAGCCTCTCCCTTTCTCTCTCTCTCTCTTTCTCTCTCTCACGCATACATACACACTCTCTCACTTTCGCTATAATGTTCGATCGATCTCGACGATCCTCGGGTCCGTCGAAGCTCGAGTTTGTCGTGGACAACGCGCATGGCGCCGGTGCTCATCGTCGCGCGTGGGATTATAATCGTTTAGAGTCCTTTGTACAGACTTCTTGATAAATCGTTCTATAATTTCTTTTTTTTTTTGCCATTTGTCTTATGTGTAATAACTTTTTTTTTCTTATCTCTTACTGCGAACTAGCGAGTACTCTCTCCTCTCTCTCTCTCTCTCTCTCCCTCTCTCTCTCTCTTTTTTACATGTCTACTTACGTTGTAACGGGTTCTTGTTGTACTGCTAAGTTAGCTAGATGTGGGCCCAAGGGGTCCCCGGGAATCACGATGGAATCCGGCTCTCTTTCGCGTCTTGGAATCTCTAGAATTTTCAGGGGAATGTCAAATCTGTCGACGAGAATTCGACTCGGGACCGACGATCGAGGGCGACCCTCGGAGCGATTAACGCGAGAGATGATTTATACGAGACCTTCGCGATGGCCTAAATTAATGTTCGAGTGCGTAAAAGGAATAATTTAATTCTAAAAGCGGAATATTTGAAGCTCGAGTCTCTTACGTCAACGATTGCGCGTGAATTTATTCGAAAGGACAAAATCGGATGATGTGGGAGCGAGGATTTAAAATTTCCTATCACAACACAGCGACACTCTGATGCGCGTCGGTCTCCGGCAAAAGTGGAAATAAAAATCAATAGGAGAGAGCGAGCTTCCTGGAAATACTGCAGCTGCTCATCAGGTATACATTGGACACCTTCCTGGGACGAGGATTAATTATCATTGCCGTTTAATCCCTCGTCCATCTTGCCTCCAACGCGCCAAAATCCGAGCTTTTAGCGTCGGGGTTGAAAAATAAAAAACATCGTTTCCTCTCCTCCTCTAATTTCCCTTTTTTTTTCTCTCGTACACGAGGATGGAAACTAGATCTGCATCATTCGATTCGAGTTCCCATGGCTTTAGGACACGATACGAACGAATTTGTGCGAAAGGAGAAGGATATAACGCGAGAGATGGATGGAATTATTTTTTTCCTCTCGTTCCTTTTACGAAAGCGATGCGACATATGGGAGAGTATCGGGTCGTACAGATCGAATTGCTCACCCTATTGCCACTTTTCTGCGTACGTACATGTATAGGTACATGATAGATGCGAGCGCGAAAATGCTGAGTCTGTCGATCCGGGGGGGAGGGAAGAGGGAGCAACGGCAATTTCACGCGACGTCGCGCTCATCTTCGTCGGCTGTTGAGTATGAATCGCGATAAGCGACACGCGGTGCATCGGTGCACGTCGTGACAAACGAGGGGAGATAATTCTTACTCCGTTAGATAAATCCTTTAATGGACAGTTTTGCAGATTTTTCACATCCGCAATCTCTGCATCGGGGATTGAAATCCGCGATTTCGCGATAAGAATAGATCGATTGTTATCTCAGACATCGATCGATAACGAAACAATGCAAAATTGAGATCGAGATTGATGCCGATACGAGGTGCAGGATAATATAACATTGTCATGTCAGATTAGATATGTGATATTTACGAAGCAGAAATGCGATTCGCTTTATATCGATTTGAGCCGATCCCTCATCGGGGAGAAACTGATACCCTTTTCGAACAGAATTAGATGCATCGATAAGAGAACAGAGTTTTTTTTTTTTTTTCAAAGATATTTCAATGCAGATCTCGTTATATTGCGAGGGAAGCTCTGCAGGTCCAGCGAGACTCCAGGCGAAATTGCAAAAGTCTCTCTGCGGACGACTCTCATTTCAATCCAGGTCTGTATCCGATATATGCGAGGTGTCCCCTATAGATGGGTATCACATAAAATATATATAGACATGAGCATCTTTTTTTCTTTGTGAAAAATAAATTTTTGATAATTCTATTTCAATAAAAAAAAATCTGATCTTTACAATAAAATGCCTGGAGACATTTATTTTCAAGTCGATATAAATAAATTCCCTTACGTCAGCAAAGTGTGCTTTCCGGCGAAGAACATTTCCAACAAAGATTCTTTATATTATTAAATTATTCGACGCTAAACATCGTAAAATGTTGTTTAATAAAAAAGAAAATAAATGGTAACTTTTATTAGCGATTGAATCTCTTTGCGACAAGAATGTGAAAAATAAAATGCCTCAAATGCAATTCGTTTTCGGAAATTTTGCCAAAGATGCTAATTTTTTTTATAAGGGAAATACTGGTCTGTATCCCTCTTATCTGTATGAAACACCTCGTACATCCCTGTTCCACGGGATAATGTCCCAATAAACGCGACGCGATGCGGCGATTCTTGTTCATAAAATCCCCGTATGACCAGGGTGACCCACATAACGATATACGACGGGGGTAGTGTGAAGGGAAAAAAGCTCATCTCTCTCGGCATCCTGGATAAGGCGAGACCGGGATCGACGGAGGCATGATATGTCGGTCGTAACGATAGTTTTACGACGCCACGAGAATTCCCAGCGCGATATAACTTCCGGTAACTCGAGTCTTCGCACCTCGAGTTCTCGTGAATCCTCAACGTCCTCTCGAATTCTCTCCAATCTTTCAATTTTTTCAAGCTCTTTCATTTTCGCGAACCTTAAAGCCTCTGAATTCTCCAATTTACGCGCATCTCCGAAACTTCCCTCGCTCTATTTGAGTGTCAAGTCTTGGGGGTGACTCGCGGGAACTTTAATGAGCGCAATTAACCGCGTAGCGTTTCGCCAATAGTTTCGCGTTATCATTTCCACGTCGCTATATCGAATCGATACCTTGCGCTATTCTCCTTCTCTCACCCTATCGTTTAGCTTTCTCGGATCTGTCGATCCTCCCCTTTCTCTCTTCACTGATCCGCGCCAAGAAAAGTCGAGCTCCGGATTCCACTGGGTTCCCCAGGGGTCTCTCCCCATAGTTTTCCTGATCTATCTCTCCCTTCCTTTTCTCTTTCACAGACGCGAGCGTGTTTATTTTGCTTTATTCATCGTCGATCCCCCGGCGATCGAGCACTCGTCTACTATTGATATGTCTGTTTCTCGCGCGGTGCCGTCGTCTTCCCGATCGTTCGTTCGTTCGTTTGTTTCGTCTGTGTGTTTGCTCGCCTTCCTTCCGTCCATCCGTCCGTTCGTCCTCTTCCTCAGGGAGAAAACGGGCCGCCGCTGTTGATGCTGCTGATGCTGCTGCTGATGCTGATGCTGACGCTGCTGCTGCTGCTCGACGGGGCTAGGACGGCGGCTCGACGGCCGACCACCGATCCGGCGGCGGCGATGGTCGGGAGCTAAACGATGCCTCTGACGTCGTGTTGGATGTGAGGCAGAGTAGTGAGGCCGGTCAATAACAGGCTCAAGATCAGGAGTATCCGGGTCGCGCCGGAGTCGGCGAGGCTGGTGCCGCTGCAGGTCTCCTTGGACCCGACGTCCAGTTTCGCTGCAACAAACGTCTCCGTCTTAGAATCATCACTGCCGATCTCAGACTTCTACATATCGCGCGCTTAAACTACGCAAACTCAAATTTCGATATTCAAGTTGTATTCCGATAGCTCGAGCATCCTTTTTTCGTCTAGAGTCTATAAATAATCGCGAGTGAATGGTACACTGAGGGAAAAATTTTTTATCGTTTATTTCATTTAAGCAAAATCATTTAATTTTAATTAAATATGCATGTTATATTAAGTACATTATTTTCATTTATATATTTTTTATATTTAAATACTATTTTCGTAAAATATATACTATAATTTATTAAATTAAATGTATTATTTTTTTAAATTAAAAAATTTAAAATTTTTGAGAATAAAAAATGCATTCTAATAAATATTTTGTAAAATTAAAATTAAAATATTTAATTAAAAATTATATTTTTTCAAGCATATATATATTTTTAAACATATGTAAATAAATACTTAACTTAAGCAAACAGACGTGACGTTTTGAATACAAGTAAATACGTGATTAGTACCCACCGAATAAATTGCTTTCTTGAGTTAACTAAAATTTTTTTATTTCAAGATAATTTTTTCCTCAGTGTACTTAATTATGAGCAAGTGTAATGTTTTTTAACATTTTTTTTTAATAGAGAGAAGCGAAATTTTGCTGCCAAATATGAGAGATGGGGGCATTAATCTGTCGAATTATATAATATTTATATAATAATTATATAATAATATAACAATTATATAATAATTATATAATATAACAATTTTTTAATAATTATATAATAATATAACAATTATATAATAATATAACAATTATATAATAAATTTTTAGTTCGAGGCATTTTTTTAACAATAAATATAAAATTATCAATTTAAATCGAAATATATTTTTCCGATATTAAAAAGCAGTGTACATTATTACACTCTTTATCAATATTTTTCTTAATTATCAAGAGACATGATAGTCACGTGCAACGACAGGGCAAAGAATCAATCTCACCAACAGCTGCTCGAGTTCTTTACAAGTTTAATCGATTCAACGCCTCGTTTTACATAATATTTCTACAATATTTGCAAAAATAAATACCCCCTCCCTTCTCAAAACACAAGCCCAAATTTCACATTGATCTTCGGATCGCGGGATCTCGAAAAACGGAGTCCGCGGGGGGATACATTGGTAGCCCTCGAAGATCCTTTCCTCTCTCGGATCGACGTGATAGGCAAATTTTCGCATTGTGCGTCGCAAGATCGACGCGCCGAGGGGGGGTGGAGGGTGGAGGGGAGGCGGGGGAGCTTCTCGATCGCGCGCGCGTTCTTGGCGCAGCGGAACAAAACGAACAAGCGCGGAGCCGAGTAAACGGGGGTAGTATATCGGACCAGCAGCACACTTGCCGAGGGTGGCGTTGGGGGGGTGGATCGTAGTGGTGGTAGCGGCGGTGATGATGGTGGTGCTGGTGCCGGTGGTGGTGGTGGTGGTGGTGGCCAGGCAGGGCGCGGATCGATGCCGCGGGTAAGTAACTCGCGGCGCGTCTAAACCGCGTCGTCGCGAATCCGCGCGAGTTTGCACGTGCGACGAGCTCGCACACGTCGCCGAACAAACTTCTCAACACCGGGTCGCGAGAACGCGCCGGGCGTTTAACCCCCTTATCCCACACACATCCCCCTCTCTCTTCTCTCTCTCTCTCTCTCTTTCTCTCTCTCTGGTTTCCTCCTTCCATCTTCGAGACGCCAGACCGCGAAACCGCCAACTGATTAACGAAAGGTATCAACTCGTAGAAACACTTTAGCGGCCCGGAAAATCTCGTTTTCGATCCCCAATTTTGTACATCGACAGCCTGTAAATGGATTTTTTTTAAATTCTCATATTTTATTACTTGACAATATATAATATATTATTGTAAATATGAGAATCTTAAAAGAAATCGTCCTCGTGGGATATTTTATATATTTATATTTAAAAATAGAAAATGTTTTTTATTTAAAAAAATATATATTTAAATATAAAATATTTAATAAAAATAAATATAAAATATATTTATTAAATGTTTAAATATAAAATATTTAATAAAAATAAAGATATAATAAAAATAAATATAAAATATTTATATATTTAAAAATATTAAATTTTATGTTAAATTTTAGATATCTTCTTTATTTTTTTAGAAGGAGGAAAGCTTGTTCAAGAAATTTTCCTTTAGTTTTCCTCTTTATTTATATCTAACGTATATCTTTTTCTTCCTGTTCTAATTACATGGAATACACAATGGTGTTTTATAATTAATTCGTGTAGGTAGGCTTTTTATAATTAATTTTATAATGAATTTTATAATTAATTCGTATAGAGAATATATGTACTTTTTATGCATTTAATTTGTACTTGCACTCTGTTTTTTTTTCTCTCTTTGATAACCAGCGGAAACGAATGATTCTCGTGGTCTGAAACTAATATGCGAGTGAAAATAGATTTACTTTATACAAATGCATACAGCGAGTGTTCATGCGGTTATTTATTATTAACGAAATTAACGTAAAAGAAGATACTCGAAGGAATTAAATTTCATTGATTTACCGCTTTAAAATTTTATCTACAGAATAGCGTTTGCAGTTTACACAATGTTTCGGAAAAATAACATTTTGTTCGTCTCTCTCTATGTTGCACGCGCAAAAATAGAAGTCAATAATGAATAAACAAATGTAAATTAAATTGAAGAGAAAGGGAAGGGCAAAACACGAAGCGAATAAAAACACAGTTGTCAACGTGAATGCATAATGTAACATACGAACCAACAAATTATGAATCTTTCTATTTTTCTCGCTTGTAAATTCCATTCCACGCACTCACACTAACAGCTTTTTTTTTACTCGCCCCTTTTTTTGATCTCTCTTCTCTCCATAATTTGATTTATATCGTCGAACCTTTATTCTTTAATTTATTAGCAAATATATTTCATACCCCGGACTAGGCTGTAGACGTTCTGTGTAAATGAAATTAATTATGTTTGCGAGCAAATACGTTTCTCTCTTTTTCCCTCGGAATGACAAATTTAACATTTCGTAGCGTCAGTGACGCATTTCTTGACATTTCTCGCGCGAGGGTACTTTCCTTCGTCTTAACGGGCGCTTACGGAGCTTATTTCCAAGTTATACGTACAGTAGAAATTTACGAGAGTTCGTTATCGCGATGCTCCCTCGCCTTCCCCATCTTTCTGTCACGGTGTGTGTCGAGGAAACGATGAAATTCCCCGACGAGAACGATTTTCGAGCGCGCGAGAGAAAAAGAAACTTTCCGGATATGTACATACTTATAGAGGGTGTCCCAGACTTAACGAATCAGCCGATTAATAGCAGATTCCTGAGATCATTTGGAGACGAAAATTCAAAATGTTGAGGAAGATTTCATAAAAATCTTCAAACTACTGACATGTCATATTTTTTATTTTATATCGATCCCTCTATCGATATTGATATTATGGCACTGTATGAGCCCTTTGATGTGCTTTGTCCCTGAGCACAGGAAAACGTAACGCGCTGATTGGTAATCTTTAATCTTTTGTAGCGCCGAAATTACATCTTTCTCAACATTTTGGAATGAAGGTTTTTCGTCTCCAAATGACCTCAGGAATCTATAACGGCTGATTCGTTAAGTCTAGGACACCCAGTATATACATTCTTTCTCTTTCTCTCTGTGGTCTCTGTAATACATTCGTCGTATAAAAACGGCGGGCGACATTTCTTTCGTGACCGCGATGACACGCCACGCTATTTAATCCCAGACTGGCGTGCGAGAGATCGGGGCTTTATACCGTAATCGTAATAATTATCATATAAAGCGACGTCGTTTTGCTCGAGCAGGTACAAATTTCAGGCTGTTATCGCGACCCACGCGCGAGCCGGCGATAAAAATCGGTTAATGAATCTGCCCGCGAAAACGATTACCTTGCGCTACAAACATACGCGAATTAATTAATTCGCGAGGCCCTCGGATTCCGAAGTGCATCATCGAGATTTATACAAGAGATCCTCCTCTCTTTATACTTTCTCCTTTTATTTGAAATTAATTATTAAGAAACCCTCGTGTTTGCATTTCATTCAGAACTCTTATCTCGAGGAGTCCCTCTTTCCTCTCCCCTTTTAATCGTATTTTTAATTAAGAAAATTCTTTCTTCTCGCACACGTTAGAATTCTTTCTCCATTTTGATCTACAATAACAAATAACTGAATTGTATCTTCGAAAAGAGGAGATAATCCGTCTTCGTTCGTTAAAATTTCTCGCGATCACATCTTGCAGCTTCGATATAATCGCGATATAATCATACGTGAGATATCGCGAATTTTATTATTTTATTATTTATTTTATTATAAATTATAAATTATTTATAAATTATTTTATTATTTTATTATTTTATTGTAAATTATAAATTATTTATAAATTATTTTATTAATTATTTTATTTTTTTATAAATTATTAATTATTTTATTATCTGTCGAATATCGGCTACCCCTCCTTCAGCTGTCAAAAACAGAAAAAGAAACTGACGAAGGGATGAACTGCGTATGCGTCTCGTAAGATTTCCTCGCGAGATCTCCCGTCGTCGAAGCCGCAACGAAGCGCGAGTGCCGTCCTTAAGTGGGACACTTGGCGAAGCGCACTTGATAGCAGTTCTGAATAAATGATGCAAACTCGAGCGTTGGCTCGCGTCCTAGTGTGCGTCGCTTCATACACACAATAGTGTGCCTTTACGCGATGTTTCACCCACTCTCGAACTCTTGTTCAAGACTGGAACACGCGGAATCTTTCCTCTCCTCGCGCTTCTTTAGCAACGTGGACCCTTATTTACGTCGCACGAGAGCTGATTAGCGATCTCTCGCATCGCGACGACGACGGAAGCCACTCTCTTTGGCCGCTCGTTTCGAGAGGAGAGAGAAGGGAGCAGGGTGTGCTCGTGTTCGACGTGAATTACCCAGTCCTACGTCGAGGAATGCGATTTCTCCGAAGCAATTCTCAAGCGTGCGAGAACAATCAAACGTACTTGGCGCTCAACAGGTGTCATACACAAGACAATCCGCGCGGTAAGTAACGCAGTCGAGGGCCTCGATGGTTCGATGAATCTCAACCCCTGTCATTCCCGCTTGCATCTGCGATAGGTAGGGTCTCGCGCGCGCACGTGATCGATTATTCGATCCGGAAGAGATCACCGGTTGCGTTTGAGAGACGCAACTGTCGGTCGCCTGGCATGATTGGTACGAATAATTCTCTCTACGTTATTTATTTTCCAAGAGACCAATCGCCTTCAACGGCCTAAATTTTTTCTAAATTGATACAGGTTGTCAGAGATGATTGCTCATGTATGGTACTCACACGTAGCGCCGAGCAGCTGCGGCAGGTACTTCTTCCAGAAGGCGCACTGTCTCACCCTGGGCCCGCTGCCGATCTCCGTGTTATTGATGTCCAAGGTCAGGTACTCTTTATTAGCGACGGTGTGCTGGGGCCAGTAAGCCGACGACCATCCCCCGGCGTCGCCCACATTCGGATCCCTGGTCGATCACACAAATCACACGTCTAAATATATCGCGATTCTGACGCGGCGCCGAAATATCTCCGAATAATGGAAATTTCGAGATATTTCGATAACATGTATGAATCGACGAATGGCTAATTAATCCACGTTGTTGACAATAATGAAATTAATCTGTCCCTCGTTATTAGATTGATCAGAGAATATTTGCTCGTATTTTATCCGTATGACTCTGGTTAATAGGAAAAAAAAAAACAATAATTCTCTAATCAATCCGATTAAATGTATCCAGCTTCAAATTTTCAATATAAATATATTTTTTAAATACAATTATTTATGACGTATTATATAGTTTAATTTTATACTGATTTTATACAATGTTATTTTTCCTAAATTAGGATACATTTCTTTTATTAAAAAAAAAATAAAGAGCTAAGAATGAAAATCAGATGAAATATTATATTACGCGTTTGAAAATGTTACCCCGTCTTTGCAAAGTTTGCCCAGTATCTCATCATCCTCTTTGAGAGATGTATCTCCTCTTGCGTGAAGTGTTTGGTTGGATCCAGAGGTTCCCCGAAGACATAACTTATCTCGTCGGCGTGCATAACTCCAGTCCACCGTGGCCACGGATTGTTCCTAGATCTGATTAAAATTGTACATTTTTCAATTACACGTATGCGATTAAAGAAGTAGCTAAATCTTTGCCAATTGAATACATTTTTAAAAAATATTTATTCTTATTTTTTTATTGGAGAAAAATTTTCAACCTTTTATCCCCTCAATTTATATCGTTTTTGATTTGATTTACGTAAACGCATAACGCGATTCAATTTCATGTTAAAAAATTGGATTATCGTATTAAAAAAATATATTTATTAAATAATTGCGCGTCTCGTGTTAAATAAAATAATTTCTGGAACTTTTCAAAGCGACCACGCATAGCCGATGCCTTGCGAATGGAGTTGCGAATCGATCTTTTTACCTGTGTTTGAAGTAGTACATGTAGACGGTGTTGCCGGTGTCAGCGTAACGGCCGGCGAACTCGTTGACGTTACAGGTGAACTGGTAATCGCCGACGATCTTGTCGAGGGCGTCGCGATTCGCGTTGGGATCGTCCGGGTACAGCCAGTTTGTGTACTCGTAGATGATGGCGTGTCGACCGATCTGATTCACGTAGGGATTCAGCTCGGACACGGCGCTGACGAACTGATCGCGCGTAACCTTCACGTCCTCGGTGCCGTCGATGCGAAACAGCTCCGTGAGATAGTAGATTATGAAGTAGAAACCCTCCTCGGTGTTGGAGCCCATCAGGATGTTGGCCTTCTTGAAGGACGTCGTGGCGAGGGAGCGTTGGGGGGTTTCGTCGAGGAACGCGCCGTCGATCACCGGCACGAATGGGAACTCGCAGATCCCGAGGGTGCCCCACTCGTTCTTCACCAGCTCGTCCGCGTCCTTCTTCAGCAGGCAGTCGATCACCTCGCGCAGATTGTTGCGATCGTGCGGACAACCGACCGCCTCCGCCAACCGGATGCCGCGCACGATCGACTCTTCGCGCGAGATTATCGCCCACGGCGTGGTCGGCGAGCCCGACTGCATGATGGCCTGATTGAACAGGTGCCTGGAATCAAAAATCGAATGGCTCTCTTTAGTGTCAATTAGCGAGAAAAGAGAAGAGATATCCTACGAAAAAATATATTAAATAAATATTATTATATTATTATAATAAAGAATCTGAAAAATCTTGTACATTTTTTATGTGTATATTCAATTTTACAATTTGTACAAAATTAATATATAAAAATTAATATATAACAAATATTAATATAATAAAAATTAATATATACAAAATTAATATATAAAAATGTGCAAAAAGTAGGACACAAATATAAAATATTGAACAAGAAGGAATTGAACAGGTGCCTGGAATCAAAAATCGAACGGGTTTTTTTTAGCGTCAATTGAGAAAAGAGAAGAAATATCCTACGAAAAAATATATTATTATATTAAATAAATATTATTATATTATTATATTAAATATATTATTATATTACTATAATAAAGAATATTAAAAATCTTGTACATTTTTTACGTGTATATTAAATTTTCCAATTTGTACAAAATTAATAAATAAAAATGTATAAAAAGTAGGACACAGATATAAAATATTGAACAGGAAGGAATTAAAGATAATTTTATTTTTGCACTTCTTCCCAACTTTTAATTCCTGTTTGCTGCCTGATTAAAACTGACCTGGAAAGCGGTGAAAGGAGGTGCATGGAGACGGAGACCGCGCCCGCGCTCTCGCCGAAGAGAGTGACGTTCTCGGGGTTGCCACCAAAAGCAGCGATGTTGTCGCGCACCCACTGCAGAGCCATCATCTGGTCAAAGAGACCGGCGTTACCGGGCACGTCGGACGTGCCAAAGTACAGAAAGCCGAGACTGGCTACGCGATATTGCATCGACACCACGATCACGTTCTCCTCTGAGACCAGGGTTTTGTGATCGTACACGTCGAGGGTGGCCGAGCCGGAATAGAAGCCACCTGAAAGAGAGGTCGCAGAGGTCCTTGGGTTTACTAATATACATTTTTTTATATTATTTATATATAATATTAAAATTTCTTATACATATAAATTAAAAAAGCAGAATTATATTGTTAATAATTGATAATAAAACTTTATATAATATTTTTTTTTTCATAACATTAATCGATCGCGTTTTATTAATTTTCTAGCGTAATAGTAGCTTCAAAAAGTTGCCAGGGTTGATTGATACAATTTACGAAAATTCCCTCGAATATTTTGCGGCATCACTCATACCTCCACAATGCAAATAGTTTCCTCTAACAGCATAATAGCAATTATCTCCACGTCACAATGGAAAATATCTACAATCAAACAACTTGAAATTCAACAAAAATCTAATTGAAACGTTAACACGGCAAGAATATACATAATGTAACAAGGCAATAAAAAAATCTCTTTATGACTGGCATAAAGGTAGTATGACGTTGCTGACGTCATTCGAAATGCGACTGTAAAGCTTAGGCAATTTCAATAACACCTCCGACAGCTTTATAGTCGTTGGTACAGAAGACTACTCCGAAGAGAAGGCATCTTGAATGATTGCATATTATATAAGTCGCTTCTTCAGAGGCTTCTCTTTGAAGCTACCGCGTACAAAGAACAAAGCTACGACTGCACCAGGAACAAAGACGGTAGACTGATGATGGATCGTCACTGGGAACTCACCACCGAATATCCATACCATGACAGCGGCGTTCGTAGGCCTGGGCCGCGGCACCACCACGTTCACGTACAGGCAGTCCTCGCTCAGTGGCGTGTTCGGGTTCCACATGGTGGCGCCGGAGAAGTCGCCGAACACCGTGTCGAGGATCTGGACGCAGCTGTTCGGCAAAGCGGTCGCGTTTAACACGCCCGACCAGCGTTCGACCGGTCGCGGATGACGAAACCTCAGAGGACCTGCAGGACAACCAGGATCTCGTCAAAGAATGCCTACTTGAAATTAACCCTTCTCCTCAAAAATATTATTTTGTCAATCATTTTCTTTTTCCTCAATTTTTTATAAATTACACCCTTGAATTTGGTGTCAAAAAATAATTATATAATTAATATTTAATTATTTCTCGACACCAAATTCAAGGGTGTAATTTATAAAAAAATAAGAAAAAATAATTATATAATTAATATTTAATTATTTCTCGACACCAAATTCAAGTGTGTAATTTATAAAAAATTAAGGAAAAATAATTATATAATTAATATTTAATTATTTCTCGACACCAAATTCAAGGGTGTAATTTATAAAAAAATAAGGAAAAAGAAAATGACTGACAAAATAATACTTTTGAGGAGAATATTTAATTAATGCTAAGTTAATTTTTAACGACTCTATTATATTTATAACATTGCGATATCAATAATATGTGATTAATTAAATTGATGGTGAATTATTACAATAATTTGTAGATTGACGACGACGATTGGGATTAACTGTCTGCGAGGAAGAAAATGGAGGAAAGGATTTTTTTATCCTTCCTCGCAAGATATTCAATCGATTTAATTTTTTCCTTCGCAAAACTTACCGAGGGGTTTCTGGGCGTAAGGTATGCCGAACCAGGCGTCGACCTCTTTGCCGGTGGTGGCGGTCAGAGTTTTGCCGCGGATCATACCCTTTCTGGTGCGTACGATCAGCGGATCGTTGCCGGTGAAAGCGGACGCTCGCGGTAGCTCTTCGGCGATCCTGGAATTCCTGATGTCGAATTCTTCGCGCGACGACGACGACGAGGATAACGACGCCGACGACGATGCCTCTTGCGCGACGTGCAGCTCGTGCTCGTGGTGCCTGCTACGATGAGACGGCGAACCGCGGCAAGGATCCGGCTGCAGGACGAGAAGCAGGATCAGACTCAGCGCCAAGATGGCCTCCAGTCTGCCGGGGCCGGTTCGCCAGGAACTTTTGGGATTTCTCGACATCCTGCCTGCTCGGCTGCAAGAGAGAGAAGCAAATCGTTAATATCGATCACGTATTTAATTATAAATACGTTGTACGAAATTACAATCACATTTATACATCGATTTAATGATAAAACACACATTTGTGAGCGTTTACTTTTGCAAGACTATTAATTATGTAGATGTAATTAATTTATTTTTCATTGAGTCGTAATCCTCGTGTAAGGTGTATTTATAGGTTCATGTGTTTGTTACATACGTACGATGAAAATGGACAAATTACTTGGTACACAAATGTTTGAAGGGACAATTCTGCGTGTCACGTTGCTTCCGTTTTACGATCGGAAATGTTGCGATGAAAGAGTGCGAGGGATTAATCTATCGGAGACTGTTCATTTTTCATCTGACGAATGATAGGGAGACTCGATTTTTAAGGGTAAAAATGTTACTCGCATAATTATACATTAATAATATTTTTCTATTAATATAATATATAAGTGATATTTTTAAATTATTTATATTTTTATCTCATATATGGATTATACAAATTATATGATAACATTTTTTTATTCTAATATTCTAATATTTTAACACTTTAATACTCATGTAATCCAAATATATAAGATAAAAATATAAATAATATTTTTATATGTTTTAAATATGTTATATATATGTTATATACATGTTATATATAACATATATAGATATTAGATAAAATATATGAGATAAAAAATATATTAGATAAAAATATAAATAATATTTTCATATATATGTTATATATATGTTATATATATGTTATATTTGCACATTTTTCTTTTGAAAATCGCGTCTTCAGATACAAATATACGTTTCGCTCAACATCTTGATGAAAATGGATTTTACACATGTCGAATATCCCGAGCAAAACTTATTTTCAACCAAATGTATCCACACGGTTGACGCAAGCACGGTTGACATGAAAGATGCAAGCACTAGAGAGAAATGCATCAATGGCGGTGCATAATTGCGAATGCATTAATTTCGAAACGATATGGAGGGAAATAAATCTTTTAAATATTGTCGGACGATTTAAAGGAAGAGAGGCCGGGAATAGTTTTCAAAGGCTTCGTACAAGTGTTATGATAGAGTCAATTTACATTCTGCCCTTACGAAGAAGTGACTTTCAAGGGGTTTTTTTTTTTTTTAAGAAGGCGAGAAGCGTTTTTAGAATCGCGTTCGCACGTAAAGCATTTGACAGGATAATCGACCAGCATCGAGAAATTACTGGATTAATCTTCTTCCTTAGATATTCACTTTCTCTATCTACCCTTCTCTGGTACTTCCCTTCGCCGCAAACTCCCTTTGGTGCAAAGTTATCTCTCCGTAGAGACAAAGTAACCCTATCCGAGGCGATAATTGAAGCTGCCTCGTGGTGAAACACGAGACACTGCGGTTTTCAGCATCCGAAACCACGATAAAATTAACTAATATTTAATTTAAATTAATTTGAATTAAACAAGTTTATTATACTCTGCTAATTAATTCAAAATATTAATTCAATATTAATTACAGATATTTAAATAATTTATTAATTATTAATGTTAAATTGGCACCTTTCAATATTAATTTACATACCAACGATTTAACTTAGGTGTCTGTTGAGAAAGCAAAAACGTTTGACACATTTTAAAGCAAAAACATATTTTTTATTTTTGCTTTCTCTCTCCAAAGATATTTAAATAATAATGTAAGATATATATATATGCGTTATTCTTACCGGTTTTTTATCGCAAATAAAGATGCATCGATAATTTTGTTTATCAGAGAGATGGTATAAAGAAATTCACGTCGAAGCTATTGTTCCGTGATTAAAAAAAACTTTGGTATCCTTGGATAAAGGCAGCTTTTCTAAATATTACAATTGATTTCGTTTGAATAATATTTAGACATGTTTCTTTCTATTCTGCTGCGACTCGTTCATCAAACATTCACGATATTGTCGTGGTAAGGCCGTTATGTAATTGACGGACAGATGATACGCGACCTTACTTATTCTCCTTAAAGTATATTTTTGTAAGTTGACATGAACATTGAATCTCCATCATTCTTATGCGCATAATTACAGTTCCCAAATGTATGTTATTATACTTTGTTTAAGTGTTATTTGCAACATTAGATTTTCCATTAAAAATTTGAAATAATAATTTTCGAGCGATAATTTTCGCCGATTTTTCATTTTTGAATATCAATTGGTAACCTTTTACATGTTTGTATATATGTTCCCATAGAGCTGAAAACTTTTTTACATGCACCGTGTTGATATTCTCGATATATCGAAATGCACAGCGAGTGTCGTGATACACAGAGTGTCTCGGAATTACAAACTAAAAAGCGGATTCTGTTTTAATAAAATCCACAACGCTTTAAACGCAAATTTTCGATAGTGACCAGAATTATTCATTCGACAAAATACTCTAACAATGTTACAATCTTGCAAATCGTAATGCAATGTTGTGGAGACATTGGCGAGATATTGAAAGAAAGAATTTTGACTTGTAGCGTATTAAAAATAAAATGAAATTTACATCGCGCTTAATATTACCTTCTTCCTTTATACATCGAACCTAATCTTCTAAAAAAAGGATATAAAATGATATTAAAAAATTAGAAAGATGGATCTTGCAATTAATTATGGATTTTAATCTAATAAAAACAAATAATAGATTTGAAAAGTGACACGAGAAGATATTTACAGCATCACTGCATCAATATAAATATACTCTTGGACAAAATTAACGCATATTTTTTCACTTTTTCTTTAAAATTTAAATATTAGCTAAAGAAAAAGTAGAAAAAAATGCGTTAATTTTGTCCAGAAGTATATATTACATCGTAACACTGCTGATGATATTTCTACTGCAGATATTTCTACAATTCTGCAATATTGCACACAATATATTTGCAATATTGCAATTATACATTTCAATATTTTTACGACTTTTCTACGCAAATAATTATTTTTATTAATTATTTTTCTGCGTTAAGTAATTTTTTTCAAATCAATATTTTTGCGAGATTGTTTCAAATGCTCGAAAAAAGCTTTCTATTCTTTTTAACATAACATATATACAACATATATAATTTTCTCAAGCCAATTCTGATATAATAAAATATATGCAACTTTTGTAATATCACTTAATTAAATTTCAACATTGACATCGAAAAGTTTCTTTGCCAGTAACTCAAATATTATCGATGCCTCGAGATTTTTGCCATGAAAATTTTTTACGCAAATAATTATTTTTATTAATTATTTTCCTGCGACAAGTAATTTTTTTCAAATCAATATTTTTGCGAGATTGTTTCGAATGTTCGAAAAAAGCTTTCTATTCTTTTTAACATAACATATATACAACATATATAATTTTCTCAAGCCAATTCTGATAATAAAATATATGCAACTTTTGTAATATCACTTAATTAAATTTCAACATTGACATCGAAAAGTTTCTTTGCCAGTAACCCAAATATTATCGATGCCTCGAGATTTTTGCCATGAAAATTTTTTACGCAAATAATTATTTTTATTAATTATTTTCCTGCGACAAGTAATTTTTTTCAAATCAATATTTTTGCGAGATTGTTTTGAATGTTCGAAAAAAGCTTTCTATTCTTTTTAACATAACATATATACAACATATATAATTTTCTCAAGCCAATTCTGATAATAAAATATATGCAACTTTTGTAATATCACTTAATTAAATTTCAACATTGACATCGAAAAGTTTCTTTGCCAGTAACCCAAATATTATCGATGCCTCGAGATTTTTGCCATGAAAATTTTTTACGCAAATAATTATTTTTATTAATTATTTTCCTGCGACAAGTAATTTTTTTCAAATCAATATTTTTGCGAGATTGTTTTGAATGTTCGAAAAAAGCTTTCTATTCTTTTTAACATAACATATATACAACATATATAATTTTCTCAAGCCAATTCTGATAATAAAATATATGCAACTTTTGTAATATCACTTAATTAAATTTCAACATTGATATCGAAAAGTTTCTTTGCCAGTAACTCAAATATTATCGGTGCCTCGAGATTTTTGCCAAGAAAATTTCGACTTGAAATTAGCCAAACCGAGCATCGTTAAAAAATAACGCGCAACAAGTGTAATACCTTCGATGCGTTTTCGATATAGAAAAAGAAATATATATGCATATCATCAAGAGAGAACGCATATGTAACAAGTTTCCAAATGCACTTTCGCACACCGAGACGACGACATACACGCTGTGCCCGATAACACGCGTCGATTTCGTCCCTCTCTCTCTCCCTTTCCCCGTCTCACATACGTTAGGAGGGATTAGTAGGATGATAGTAGTCTCTAGTTACACCACACGAAGGTCCACGTTGATTAGCAACTTCCTTCTACGTGTTCCGAACGCGCGTTCGGTCACACGCAGCGCGTCCACGGGAACGTCGTCGCACGCGGAAGTTTACGCACGAGGCCGCGGCTTTAACGCGTCGTCAGAAATTGGAATTTATTAGTTTAGCACGTTACCCAGCGTAGTAGTCGCTCGTAACGAGACTATCCATGAGAAAATTGCGCGGCGGAAACAATTCTTTGGCGATTTTCCACCGCGAATTCGCGATCGATCTCGCCCCAATGTTTCATTTAATTACTCCAATAATTAATGTACATTCGGTCTAATGTGCTTCATCTTTCCCCTCGTGTCCCAATCATTCAACTTATCCCAATAACGTCTAGTTTGATCAATTTAAAAGCTTCGCGTAGACTTGGTGAATTAAAGATAAAAAGAAAAAATACGAGAAAAATGAGGTAGAGAGGGGATGAAGCGCATGATTAGGGTCTTTTCTTCAGACTCACCCCAAGATCTGGCCCAAGGAAATTTGTCGCGCGACACTTTCCCGGCTACGTCCTCCTGCTACTCAATATCGATACTTGTGATACCTAGTTGTTCGATTAGAGTCGCACGATCGCGTTGAGGGTCGCGAAGGGTTATCGCGATGACAATGACTATTTCGGCGCCCTGCCGACGAAGCACTGACGGCGATGATTGGCAAACAGTCACGAGAGTGACAGCGCGAGGCCGTCGCCGCATTAGAGTCACGAAGCCGACTAGTTACTTCCCTTGGCACACTGCGGCAGCATTATACATGATGCTCGATGTTGCATAGATGGATAGGGTCGTGATCCATAGTAGCGTAACTGATGAAACTGTGCGTAGATCGATCGAGCGAACTTCGCTCGTTGAACCTGCCGGAGAGTCTCTCCCCCACAAGAGTCGGTTTTTCATCTATTTTTTGATATTTTTAATTTTTTCGTCCAATCCTTACCGACACTAATTCCCTTTGAGTTGAACTCTATCGCTTTACCACTTTACTTAATTAGATTAAAGAATCGTTTTTCGATCGGAGTGATAAAACAAAGGGATAAAAAGTCGCTCCTCCTCTAAATCACACGCTCTATCCCTGATAAAGTAACAATTGCCCTCGTATCCATCTGGAAATTGAATTCCTTTTGAAACCCCGGTTTTTACCTTCGCTCTCTTTCAAACCTCTTGTCAGTTTGCGTTTCTGACTTTGCCTTTTCCCCTTTCTCTCTCCCTTCTTTTTATTTCTCTGATACTTACAGCGAGGAAAACGCGAGGAAGGTGCTCGATTAGATTTCAGACAGCGGCGATGTCCTCCTCCGAATCCGCGACAGGCAGATCCGCTCTCTTGCCCTGCTCCTCTTCGTCTACATTCTTCGTTCGTCAAGCATCGTGCGTCCCTGTAACAGCACAATGTAGACTGAGTGATCGGAGAAATTGAACGAGGGTGTGTCGGAAGCGAAGGGGTGAGACACACTGACAAACGTCCGGGGGCCGAGGGTTCATTATTTGGGGATTATTACGTTGGAAGGAGGGGAAGAAGGAGAGAGAGAGAGAGAAACACGTTTATCGTTTAACCCTAATGGCAATGGAGAGAGGCATACACGGATATAAATGTATGAAAGTGTATGAGAGTAAAAAGAGAGGAGATAAAGAAAAGAGAATAAATAGGGAAAGGAATAAAGCTGCATTTTCGCGATAAGACCGGTTCAGTCGAAAATGCTCGATTACCGAGTTTGTTCGCGTAGCGAAAATTCTTTGTCTTCGTGTTTTCTCCTATACGTATCAAACCTGATATTTCCGGCAACCTCATTCCGACCCGCGGGCGATCTACGATTTTTCGTTATTTCACGTATTTTCGCGTAAGTCGCTCGCGAAAGAGCGAATGTCGAAAGGCGCGCGTGACGCGTTCATATACAGGGTGTCCCAGACTTAACCAATCAGCCGTTAATGCTAGATTCCTGAGATCATTTGGAAACGAAAGTCTTAATAGCAAAATGTTGAGGAAGGTGTAGTCTCGGCGCTACAAAATATTAAAGATTACCAATCGGCGCGTTACGTTCTCTTGCGCTCACACAGAAAAAAAAGAAGTGTCAAATCAAAACTTATATACTTAAACTAACGCGTTCATTGTTTCGTATATACGCAACAATTTCTAATCTTCTTCGAAGAATTTAATAATTTTTAAATTTCAACAATATTATCGTCTTATTTTAATATTGTAATTGTCACCTCAGGAATATATAATTATTTAATTCTACTTTAAGAAAATTATAATCTTTGATTTAAAAATGTTATTTCCTATCCAATATTGTTTCTTTTCCATTCGAGAAAATTAAATCTTAAATCATGAGAATATATTTTTCTCGATTCAACTATATAAAATGGCTTCATTCGAGTAAGCAATTATTCAAGCAATTATATTTTTCTTAAATTAACGCGATATAATCTCATTTCAAGATTTCCACGTTAAAACTAAATATATTTTCAAAATAAGAATGTCTTTTCTTTCTGTGCAGGGACATAGCGCATCAAGGGGCCCACGATAATCGATAATCGATAGAGGGATCAATATAAAATAAAAAATAGGATTCTGCGCGATTGTGTCTTCGATGCGTCAGCGGTTTGAACATTTTTACGAAGTCTTCCTCAACATTTTGGCATTAGAATTTTCGTCTCCAAATGATCTCAGGAATCTGCTATTAATGGCTGATTCGTTAAGTCTGGGACACCCTGTATATATATGTATGCTTATTAGAAATTCCAGTCGTCCGTATATTCGCTCCCTCCCCCCTCCGACGAGCGACGTGGAATTCGCATATAAACGGGAAATGAAAGGCGAGATATGGGGATCTTTTCTCGCGCTTTCTCAGGGGGATGAAAAGACCGAGTGAAATTAAAGTTCATTTGGGGGAGGGGGAAATTTTACAAAAGCCACAACCGCCGCCATAAGTCGATAATTAAACGCTCGGTAATTATAGAATTGGAAAGTTCTTGAAAATGATTCGATTAGCCCGAGATAGACTCGAAATAGGTGCCCCGTTCTATTCTCGTAAATTCGCTCTCCCCGTTAAGGTCGCCCCGTTAAATTGAACTGTCTCTTTAAGGATAACCGAGGAGCGACAGCTTGCCGCCGCCGCTCTCGGTTCGACGATATCGGACGAAACGTCTGCGAATTTTCGTTACCCCCACACACACACACACATACACACACGCGCGCGCACGCGGACACACACGGGCACAGGATGCAGACACACGGACGATCGTTGACCGAGAAACGAAAGGTCAGGGCGTCACTGCCTCGGCTTGGCTGGCTGCACTGCGGCTCGTTGAATTTTGCGACGCGGACATTTAGGAAATCATCCCCCGCGCGCGCGGGGGTGAACAACGAGGACCGGCCGCTCCACGAAATATGCATCGACAGTTTCTCTATCGGGTGTTTCGAAGAAAGAAACTTTTTTTCACCGCAAAGATCGAATTTTCCCTCGTTTAAATCACCCTTATTATGATTCTACAGAACAGGACCGAAGATCTTATCGAGAACTTTTTTTTAGCGAGGGCAAACTTTGCGGGAGGAACTTTGCCAAGTTCCAGGGGAGAAAATTGATGGAATTAGGGATATTTAGGCAATCTACCTGGATAGAAATTCATCTTGATGCTCGTACACGAACGCAAAAATTACAGGGGTACGAAGCGACGAGCATTCTGGGGATCACTGTAATAAGGGGAAACCACTCCTGATTTCGGGGACACCCTGTAGAGAGGCACCGGCGTTTCTCGGGGAATTTCTGCGAAAATAACGCGAACGAGCATTTTTCTCTGGTGACGCGAAATTTTCTATTGCGTCCGCTCGAGGATGAATCGGGACCGCGGCCATTGTTTACGGGCTCGTTCATCCGGATGAACGATTTGTACTCCAAGTACTCGTCCCTTCAAGCGTCCACGCTGGAATAACGCGATAATGGACGGTTGGGCGATGTGTCCTTTTTAAAACTTTTCGAAAATAATCAATGATCGCCAACCCTTCTCTAATTATTCTCAAATACATCATCCTCCTCCCTTTCATCCTCGTCTTTCTCCTTCTCCTCGAAGACACCCAAGTGTCGGCATGCATATTTCGCTATTGCGGATAGGAAACACGCGAGCGGGTCAGTCGGACCCGCAGTCTCGTCTCTATGACAGGGTAAAAGCGAGCGTGTATCGCCGGGTATCATCGGGGAAGAGGGATGAACGGGGGAGGAGTTATGGATGGCCCATGGACACGCTAACCCAGTGACATCTCTAGGTCAGCCCGACCGCTCGCTATCCTCCACCACCACCGCGTATCATCAGACTTCGATTGAGGCCGAAACAGGCATCTCGGTCCCAGGGACCCATATCATTTTTTAGGACCCATAGGCGGGACTCGCGTCAACTCGATATCCCGAAGAGGACGTAAAATACACCAATGTGTACTTCTCCTCATCGGTCATAGTAATAATAACAATATTAAAGTTGAAATTCGCACGCTTATATTAGATCCCAAGATTAAGATCCTTGCTTGAATAATAAGATAGAACCCTGGATGGGGGTGGAACGCTTATCAAGCGAAGCGCGAGTCAGCCAGTGAGCGAAGAACGAGTTTCGAAAATTGCAAACGAGCAAAGAAGAGGCAACGTACATTGATAATACACGTTATCGAAGCGATAGGGACGCATTCGGCGACGACGAGCGGTAATCCTTGACCCGGTTACCCGCGTAAGCGAGCCAAATATTGACCTAATCTAACGACTCGCCGCGCTGAAGCCTGCTGCGTTTTTTCTAGCCGGGGGTTGGGGCAGGGGGTGCGCATCGTTAAAACTAAAGGTCTCCCGCCTCGTTAACTCTTCTCTCTCTCTCTCTCTCTCTCTCTCTCTCTCGACAATTTCGAATACATTAACGATAATAAGCGAAGCGGGCGACGCGCCAACTCCGTGAAAAGTAATCGAGATTCATCGATAAGCCTGGTGTGTGTGTGTGTGTGTTTTATGAATTTTATATACGAGGACCTTTTCCCCATTTCTCTCGGTTTGTCGCGGGGTGCGTGTACAGCTGTAAATGAATCTTTCGCGAAAGGGGTTGAGAGAGAGAGAGAAAGAGAGAGAGAGCGGGGGAGGAGGAGGGAGAGAGCAGATGGTATCGGCCGGTTGATATTTGGCGGGCAATCGGAAATTTGCTCGTTCGTGTGGCATGCGCGATAAAACAGCGGCACCAGAATGTACCAGGCACCGAACCAGACACCGAGTCCTATTTTCTCTCGCTCTCTCGGTCTCGTTTCTCAACGTTCCACCCCCTCGCTCTCACTCGCTCTCTCTCTCTTTCTCTGCCCATCTCTCTTTCTTCACCTTTCCACCCGGTTTTCCTCCTTCGGGCGAATCGCGGGACGGATCTACCCTCTCGGAATGGAATTTTCGTAGGGTTTCCTTTTCGACGCTCGACCCCTGCTCCCCTTCCCCGAGAGCGTATTTATTCGGGGGATGAAGAAGAAAGAGCTGGCTCTCGACGATTGAAAAAAATCGGAGTACATTAGGAATAAATGTGAATCGAACTCGCAGATATATATATATATATATATATATATATATATATATATATATATATATCGTAGCAAATGAAAATTCGATGAAATATCTCGAAATCGCGAGGAGGGATGTTTTTTATTCTTTTTATATATCTCGAGCTCTTCACAGAACCTGAGGGCACGTAAGAGACAAAATTGACAATAAAAAATTGATTGCAAAAGAGAGAGGACAATCTCGACGATTTCAGATATCGGACCACAAACACGTCCCTGTTTCGCGCGTATTTATTCCCGGGATCAATTCTTCGGAGCAAAGACGAGAATAAAATTACGAGAGTTATGCATATCGGGTGGGAGACCGCGATATAATCGATAAAAAGGTGCCAACATACTTATGAATTACACACGACAATGAGACAATTCTTAATAATAGAGGCCCACCCTCTCTCTCTCTCTCTCTCTCCCCCTCTCCCTTTTAGCGGTCTCTTATCCGGACTCTTGCACCGGGTCTCTATTCGACTCGAGTTTGCCGAAATCGCTAGATTTGCGGGGGCGCGTCTCTCGCCCTTCCCCCTTTCCCGAACCTCGCGCGATCAGGTGGTTGACGATGACGGTACCGCATTTTCTCGAGCGACGACACGGCCATTGCGTCGCATCGCGTCGCGTCGCGCCGCGTCGCAGCCGCAATGCAGCGCGATGCAACCCGCCGAAGAAAAATCGTTCGCCGGCCGAAACCCCTCGGTACCTTCCTTCCTTCCTTCCTGACTTCCTTTCGCGGCTCTCGCCTCCCCCCGATTCGCTCGCCTCGCACCGGTTGCTCCCGCGATGACCGTCAGCGCGATCGAGACCTCGCACGATCGC